ATATTCGATATGCGATACGATATTGCTTAAAGTGTGTAAAATCAATTTAAATTATATTTTAAAATATTTAAAAATGAAAATTATATAACCAATTTGTTTCACATTCTTTCTTGGAAAAGAAAGAATCACTACAACTTCTGAAAGTGACCAGCAGTGTTTTAGCATTACATAAAAAGTAATGTCACAAATCAGAAAACGTAATTTAACATCAATGTGAACATACAAACAAAAAAATTAATGACACTAATTTTATATCATTGTAACTTTGCTTTCCATACAAGTACTTCTTCATATGCCACAGCAAAAACTATAGTCTGAGAAAGTTCAAACATTATTAAAGGCAAGTGAACAAAAAGAAATACACAATTTACAAGCATAGATAAAATAAACAGCAGTATTCAGGTACAGAAATTTAATAATTAAGTGTAAAATAACACTGCGTAGTGTTCACTGTATGAATTAATTTAGGATGAATCTTTGTTAAAGCCGTTTTGTTGTTTAATTAACATTAGTGACATATTCAGCAGCACGTATTTATAGGCTGCTGTCCCTTTAAAACGACTGCACGGATCTAGTATATTGATACACATCCGATACACATCTTTCTCAGCTGTTTACATTCATTTAAAACATAACTGACTTCGTTTACGAGAATGATCGTCGAGACGGGTACTATTGACATAATTCTGTGTGTCTGTTCAAACATAAGGAGGAGATGCGAAAGACCAGGGCGTTTTGGGGGCCCTAAGCAGATTTTCAAAAGGGGCCCCCATACCTACAATTTCAGCTAACCACCCGCATCCCATCCCAATGTACACATCTTACACTGACACCTAATTGTAAAGATTTACTAATTTGTTTTACTCAATTTATTTATCTTTCAAGAAATAGATAGGAAAATATATTTGGGTAGTTGACAAATATCCAGTAAAAAACTTTTTTTGCAAAACACTATTCCTGGTTCTTCAACTAATTAAAATTGTTAGTGGAGTTTAAAAACAGGATATGGTGTCACACCAGAGGACATAGTTTTCAGTGACATAATGTATCAAGTTCATATGCTTTTAAAAATATATGGATGAAAAAATGATTGCCAATTACTAAAATAGACACTTGTAAAATTATGCCTGAGGTATTTATTAACAATTGTATGCTTTTCTTTTTAATTTATAAAAGTTGTAATTTATTGAACATCCTTGAGACAGTCACACCATAGGACAATTTTGAGATTTAGCTCAAAAATGTAAATAAATAAATAAATCTAATAACAAAGCAGTTTTTATAACAATGGGTCCATGTAAGACAAATCAATTTTAAATGATGACAATATTAATTATTTACATTTTTTATATTGTGTGACACTGAAAATGCAATGTCATGTCAACAACCCATTTAAGCAAACTTTAAAACTAAAGAGTTTAAAACTTAAAAATGAAAGAGTTTAACGATTTCTTAAGAGAAATGTATCAAAATTCAGTGAGATTAATGCTTAAAGCAAAAACACCTGGTTATGAAAATTGCATTAGAGAACGGTATAATAATAATAATAATAATAATAGAAGAAGAATTAATTTTCTGGGCTGGCATGAAAGTCCAGATTAAAATGCAAAAATAATCAAATATAAGTGTAAACACATGTTGAAACAGATTTAAGTGAAGGCAAAAATCTGAGACGAGACGAGACACGAGATAGGGTTCACAAGAATGAGACTAGACAAGATTTTTACACTATTTTAAGAAATCTTCAATGATGAAAAACATGGCTGGAAAAATAGTCTGGAGGTGCATTGAAATGTTTGAACTAATCTCGCAATAAATGCCATCTCAGTTCTGCTTTCTGAGTATGAATTATTATATGTAATAACAGAGAATACTCAAGCACTGTAAAAGATTTTGCTACAAACTCAACTGACTGACTTCTCTTCTGTATGATTTCATGAGTCTCTTCAGACCTATAGAATTGTACTTGCAGGCTATGAGTTTTTAGAATGTTTGACCTCCTATCTGAACTTTTTTCCACAAATTGATCATAGCAAAAAAAAGAACAGTTCTTTCTTAATCTTATTAAGTGCAACCATAATCAAAGTAGGGTACTCCCTCAATATTCAAATCAAAGCGCAAACAGAAACCAAAATTTTCTTCAAGCATGATACAGAGCTAAGAGATAGTTATACTACATATCCTATTATACTGTGCATACTAATTACAGACTAGATATTGTGTGCAGACTAATTTGCATGCAACAGGGAGCCGCAGCCGCTCTCAAACTGCTGGTATTGAAATTGCGTTTGAATGCGCGCATGCATCCTTTTTAGTTTCACTTTCGATTTCGCGATCGGGACCGGAGGTGCTGAGCGATTGCATTCTACAAGATTTGTCAGACACTTACAGTGCGTGTCCACGAACGTTTTTAATTCATTCCTATGGAAGTTCAGCTTCAGAGAACGCTCCAGCTCAGCTCTGCTGTTGCCATCTCCACCATCATCTCGCCTTACTCCCGTGATTGCTGTCTTGAACTCCTGACACGGGGCCCCTGGTGGCCACGGGGGCCCTATGCAGCTACATATATCGCTTTTTAGATAGGGCCGGCACTGCAAAAGACGAATCAACTCGGTCTAAAACACGTCTCTCTGTGTGTGTGTGCTTTGCACGTGTGCGGCAGAACTGAAGAGACGCTGTGCGAGATGCGGCTTGTGCGCGTGCTTCAGGTGTGTGTCAGATAGCAAGAGGTTTCTGCAACTTACTGCACTTAATAACTCTTTTTAACGTCAAGCTATTCTCTGCTATATGCGTCAACTAAACAACTAAAACTTTGACCTTTTGCAACGTTTTGATTTAAGTAGCCTATTATTAAAATAATAATCGCACGCTGTTGCGATAAGCATATTGCGATATTTACATTTGCAATATTTCGATATATCGTGCAGCCCTACCAAAATCAGTTACAAGTACACTACCGCTCAAAAGTTTGGGGTCAGTAAGATTTTTTTAATGGTTTTGAACAATGAAAACTTATGCTCGAACAATGTAGCATTTATTTGATCAAAGTTTGAAACAGTAAAAACAGTATATTGTGAAGCATTATTACACTTTAAAATAACTGTTTTCTACTTTAATATTTAAAAATGTAATCTTTTCCTGTGATGGCAAAGCTGAATTTCCAGCATCATTACTCCAGTCTTGCTCAAGAAACAAGATTTGGTGCTCAAGAAACATTTCTTATCATCATCAGTGTTGAAAACGGTTGTGCTGCTTAATATATTTGTGGATCCTGTGATACAGGATTCTACGATGAATAGAAAGTTCAAACGAACAGCATTTATTTGAAACAGAAATCCTCTGCAACATTGAATGTTTTTATTGTCAGGTTTGATTAGTTTAATAGGTCTATGCTAAATAAAATACATTTTACTGACCCCAAACTTTTAATTAAAATGTTTATAAAGTATAAAGCACAATATCATCATCTCAGTGTTGGATCAGCCCTTTTACCCTGAGAGATTACACATGAAGTGTAGAGACTTGACAGGCTTCATCATCTGTTAATACATTTTCCCATGATGTCTCAGAGTTTCTTCCATTCTCCATCATAAAATTCCATCTCTGGCTTTTCCATAGTGTACAAAATAACATGAAGCACTCCCTGACATTAAACAGGACTGTTCAATTCAAAGGAATATTTTCCAGCTTGAACTGAACAAATATTCTGAGAAGTTAGTTACCAATCGTCATGGACGCCTTTGTATGCTAAACAACGAAAACCCAAACACACATGCTCTTTCTCCTATTAATCCAGCTAATGCCGCATGCCACAGATCACATGACGAACTGCAAGAAAGAAAATTTAGTTTATAAACAACTTTGCTATGGCAATACTGACAAATCTCATAAACTGCCAATCCCTGACTCCAAACCCCACCCGCTGACTCATGATTACCTTCAGTGGATAAAACATACAAACATGCACACCGTTTATGAACATGCACAAATTTGTGATGATAACCTATAAAATATTAAACTTCAAGATGCCTTTGTCTATCATGAATATTCATATACACTAAGTTTGGGATCAGTAAGATCAGTAAGTTTTTTGAAAGAAATACTTTTATTCAGCAAGGATGCATTCAACTGATCAAAAGTTACAGCAAATAAATGTATAAGGTTACAAAAGATTTCCATTTCAAATAAATGCTGTTCTTTTAAATATTTCACAAAAATACAACTGTTTTCAACATTGATAATAATAAGAAATGTTTCTTGAGCATCAAATCAGCATATTAGAATGATTTCTGAAAGAACATGTGACACTGAAGACTAGTAATGACTGCTAAAAATTCAGTTTTGAATAAATGACACTATAAAATATATTAAAACAGAAACAATTATTTTAAACTGTAATAATATTTCACAACATTCTGTTTTACTGTATTTTTGAACAAATAAATGCAGCCTTGGTGAGCCTAAAAGACTTCTTTCAAAAACATTAAATCTTACCAACCCCAAAATGTTGAACAGTAGTGTAATTATTAAAAGGTTTATATATGCTCATGGAATACAAATTAAAATGTATCAGATTTCTTAAATTCAATGTCATAGGTTTAAGTCCTCATACTCCTCTCTGCCCCAAAGATCAATGAAGAACATACAGTATGTCACTGTATGTGAACAACACTAACCTCTCAGTATTATCTACAATTTCCGACAAAAGTTGATGTTGACAAAAAATTTATTGAGCCCATAAAAAACCTTTAATTACAATAATACGGATTTCAGCTGTTTGTGGTATAAACACAAAGTGCATTATTTATTTTTCTTCTTTTTCAAGCAATAACATCATTAAAACAATGAACTTTTAAAAGTATAATAATCATAATCACGAATGTACTGTGCAGAAATAGAGTAGCTCAGCTACATTAAATATGTAAATTTGTTTGCAAAAGTGATGTGCTAATATATCAGCATGAGCTATGTGCTCAGTGTCCAGAACTCTAAACTCTAACTGGATGTTATTTGGGGTCTTTGTGATGGCTGTGGTGCCGTCCTCCTCCTGCGATTGGCTGAGCTGTTCATTGTGCTCAAAAATATGGTGGTCTATATGGTGGCTGAAAAACAAGAAGAGGAGCTTTTGAGATCTACGTAAGATGTGCTTTGAGATTTAGTTCTGCAGGTTTAATATGATCCAGCAGAATGAGACCAGAGCAGGAGCATCCCAGAACACAAGAGCCAAACCTACAACCCTGAAAGCAACAAACTCCAGCAGACTAAAGCAGAGCCATCACCAAACCAACCCATCACATACACTTATATGCAGACTCACACTTGCAAAATCTCTTTATAGACCCATTCAAACAGTCATAATTGCTCACCAGCATTCCACCTGGAGCTGCAGGCCCTCCGTATGGTCCCATGGGCCCTGGACCGAAGCCTCCTGGCGGGCCAGGTTGAGGAGGGAAGCCCCCTCCGGGTGTACCCCAGGACCCTGGTGGAACTGGGGGAAACATTCCTCCTCCATATCCCGGGCCTCCATCTGGTGGAAAGGCACCAGGGCCTCCTGGGCTGTACATGCCAGGCCCAGATGGACCAGGTGGGTAAGGCACGTTTGGATATGGGCCCTGTGGAGCCCCAGGTGGGGAGGGGAACTGTCCAGGAACGGGGTATGGCACGGGTGCCCCACCTGGTGGAAACTGACCTGGCATCAAGGGGAACTGTCCTGGAGCTCCAGGGTTGGAGGGGAACTGTCTGTTACTGAGACGAAGGGGGCGTTTTCGATCTTTGGACGCTTAAAATCAAACAACCATAATAAAATGAATCACACTGATTTAGAAACTTTTCCAGTTTTCTAAATGCCACTTTCCACGAATAGAGCCTGAAAAGGTGAAGTTTTTCCAACAAATGGTGAAGGTTGAAGTGAAGGTTGACAAAATGTTGATTGTCTCGGATGCAAATGTTTGTTTGTAGTTACTGATAAATTTATATTTCCCATCAATTAAGATATTTTCTCAATGCATATATCATTTACAAATAAAAAAAGACTAATGCTCAAAAAAGGAGTGGGACTTTACATGTTCTGTATTCCTGAAATGTGCTTTTTGATACGTTCCGAGTGTTATTATTACTATTTTAAACGTCAAAGTCTGTTGTGCATTAAATATTCATTTATATTACTTTAAATAAATTAATGATGGCGATATTTTAAGGCATTGAATGCATTCACTTGGGGTACATTTGCGTGCATTTCATTATTTTGAACGAATAGCTGGCAATCTATCTAAATCTAAATCTATGCGGAGAGATGCGTGCATCCGATAGTTCTTTCCATGAGCATCAGTTCATGCCTAAATGCTGCTGTTCTGGGATCAGACAGAGCTCGTCCTTCTATGGATGAAGTGAACTGCGCTCCGGCCGGACAGGGCATCACAGTATGTGAAGGGCGTGACATTTCCGTCACACGCTTGAGGTATTCAGCCAATCACAACGCATTGGATAGCTGGCCAATCACAGCACACCTCGCTTTTTCAGACTGATGAGCTTTGTAAAAATCGACGCGTTTCAAAAAGGCGGGGCATAGAGGAGAAACAATAATGTACTGTATGTGGAAAATAATGCGTTTTTTAAACTTTAAAACGCATAAACACATTTCATTACACCAAATACACAAAATAATGTTCTTTTTAGCAGCATCATATGACCCCTTTAAAGTTTGTTAACAGAATTTCACAATCGGAAGAAATACTTAGTAGTTTCAACGCTCACTGCATTCAGTCGGTTGGTTACTTGTTACTCTCAACATTTTTGATTTCACTGCCCCCTTTGTCCAGGACAATATTTGATGGCCCTCCTATCTAAGCTAATATATCTCTGGTACTACTAAAAATAAACATTAACTCAAAAATATGTCAGTTTAAAATGCATGTTAATTAAAATTATATTAATATAACTAAATCTATGTAATTGTAAGACATAATGGGCCCATTGAAACATTGCAAACCCCACAACCCTGGCCCCTGTTGAGAACCACTGCTTTAGATATACTTTAAATTGACAAACTCTCAACCCTGAGTGTATCCCTATGGCTCATAATCAAAGAGATCATTTGGAAGTTTCTCAGGTTATGTGGCTTTATGAATTATGTATAAACTACTACTAGTCAAAAGTTTGGACTCAATTAACTAAGCAGACTAACAAAGTAAAAAAATAGTAATAACAATAATGTGTGTGTGTGTGTGTGCATGCAGAGTGAGTCTTTAGTTGTGTGTGAGGTGGATGAAGACCTGGTGAAAAAGTTGCGGGATTTCCGCTTCAGGAAGGAGACTAATAATGCCGCCATCATCAGTGAGTCGAACTGAAATTGTTCCATAAATGCTCACACTTTCTCAGATTCTGTGAGGATTGAATGGTAATATTGCTGTTTTTGTCCTCTGGTTACAGTGAAGATTGATAAAGACAAACAGCTGGTGATTCTGGAGGAGGAGCATGAGGTAAATTACATACACAAGACCACTGTTATCGCATGAATATGTAATACTCAGCTTTCTAGTAGGACTAATAATTGAGCAGCTCAGTGACATAAACCAGGGTTTGATTTCTCCTTGTAGGATATTTCTCCTGAAGACCTGAAGAATGAGCTACCAGAAAGACAACCTAGATATCCTTCACTGAAACAAAACTCACTCTGTGCTGTGCTGTAAACTCAAAAAATGTGTCTATTCAACATTGAACAATCATTGGATTCCTTAACCTCTGACACATTTGTAGTCTACAGCTATAAGTACCAGCACGATGATGGGAGGGTGTCCTACCCTCTGTGTTTTATCTTCTCCAGTCCTGTTGGTAAAGAAAATACACATATTCAATAGTCAACATGCTCAAACAAAGTAATATACAGCAGTGCTAAGTCTCTAAAATGAAACCCAATTTTCCAGGATGCAAACCTGAGCAGCAGATGATGTATGCTGGCAGCAAAAACAAACTGGTACAGACGGTTGAACTGACCAAGGTGAGTTCTAACTAACACACCTAACCTTACACATGTTGTTGTTTTTTTTAAAGCAGTGTAGTGGGAATGTCTTTTTAAATTTGTCTGGATCTGCTTTCTCTCAGGTGTTTGAGATCAGAAACACCGAAGACCTGACAGAGGAGTGGCTCAGAGAGAAACTGGGCTTCTTCCGCTAAGAATGGCCCGAACAAGCTAATGCTCGTGCTTAAAGAGTGACCGAGATGGGACCATCACCTCCAAACGGAGAGAATACCATAGTCCATCTGATACCGTCTGTTTGTGTATGTTTGAATGCTCCTGCCCAAACTCTAAACCCGCCTGTACCAGTTTAAGATGACAGAAATTTGAGGTACAAAGAAAAGAAAACGTGAAAGCAAATTCCACAAGTGCTCTGAACTATTCCTTGGATTTTTAGAATCATTCCGTTCTCGTCCCTGAGCAGTAACGTATGTACTGGCCTGCAAAGGTGGTCCAGTCTTACTGCCATGATAGTTGGGTGACATGTTGCGATTTTAGGCAATCTTATGTCAGCTGTCCTTCATGATAGATGACACGGCAACAGATTTAAACATTTTAAAACTCTATCATGTGTTTTGTTTTACCAGTTTTGGTGTAAAATCACATAAGTCTTCATGTAAAGCCCTGATCACATCTTTTCTTCCTTTGTAATGCATTTTTCTACCTGTAATTTGACCAAACATGAATTGTTTTGTTTTGATATCTGTTGAACTGTAATGGTAGGTGAAGAAGTCAGAAGTCTTAATGATATTTTTGGGAGAAAGCGTTTGGTTACCGATTCTGGCCTGTTGTCTTGAGTGCCATAAATTCAATCTTTTTTGCCTTTTTAAATCTGTGCTCGCAGCCTGATAAACAAATCTCCACTAAAGATCAAGAATCTGTGAGGACAATTGTGTGAAAGTTCTGGGACTAATTTTTCTTGATTTGGTGTTTTTGGGAGAGGTGATATAGTATTTGTCACCCAGACGTTCTTAATCACAGATCTGTCCTACCTTTATGGAAATGTGCAGGTTTAGGTGTACAGCGGCAGAGATGTGATTCTGCCACAGGCAATCATCTCGTAATTAATTCCTCTGTTAGTTATTCTAAATTACTCTTTCTCATTGTCCAACTAAACGCTGGAATAAAGCTAATGTCACTATTAAGTTTATGCAAAGTATCGTTTTTTTTCCATTAAAAACCCAAAAACAATCTTTCTATTGGCAAAATTGAAACACTGGAAATTTCTTAAATGTTCAAAGCTTAACAGAATACTATGAATAGTTTAAGGAAGTGATGTTATTATGGTTTTGATAAGTAATACCTCTGCAGATCTCAAGTCTTTCTGAATTTATGAGCTCTAATGTGGGTCAGGCTCATCTCTGTACATCTGTAGAACCCGTAACACCTGTGATTAGTCCCGTTTCCTATTAAACACTGATTGCTCACTTTGGTGGTTTATATGATGTGGACATCACATGATATGTCCCATACAGTAGTGAACTGTGTATGTGTTAACATTTAATTTTTAATGACTGAAGATGTTTTTCCTGATCATTTATAACTCAAGATCTAGAAAGCAGAAAAACCGTTCAATATGTGTCTCAATTACATTTGTCTGCTGTTTTGAATAATTAAATAGAAGGTTGTTTCCTTTGAAAATTTGACCATGTGCTTAACTGGAGTGTTCTTGATTGATAATCACACATTTTATTTTTAAACTTCTTAATTGTACTGTGCATCATGTGTGTTCATGTCATGAAATATAATTACACTGAACATTAACATGTTAAATATGGGTATCTTACTCGTTTTAGCAAAGTTTACCGCTGGGAGTAAATAATGGATTATTCTGTTCTGAATAATGGTGATTAATTCTTAAGAGTGAAATGAAGATTTAGTAAAGGATTTTCTGCATTCTACATACTCTGCTTACTTGGGTAGGAACTATCTGCTTAGAGAGCAAATGTAATTCCATTACAAACAGACAAGGTGATTTAGCCATACTCATTATTCCACAAATGCTGGGTTTGCATTAGTAAACCAATATTAGGTCAATGGCACAAAGTTTTAGAAAGTTCTACCCACTGTCATTTTCATGTGGTTTTTGATTTCATCTGTCTGGTTGGGCTTTATTGATCTAGTCCTTAAACATGCATCATTTGATGACCACATAAAGTCATTAAATCTTGCCCCAGAAAGTGAAAATTCCCATCAGAAAGTTTACTTGTTTGTTTGCAGTTAGATGACTTTACATTTCCATCCTATGTCTGAACATATCTCAGTGAATTATTCCTCTTTATTTCTCAATTAAAATGTTTATTTTACTAACCACTATAATGATTAACATTCAGCACAACATGCCAGACATCTGCAACTTATTACGAAAAGATAAAGGTTTTTAAAAGATTTCTATGATGTCAGTCACAGCGGTGACATTCAGCAGGATCTTTTTTCTTACAATAATATTACTTTTGGTAAAAAAATATATGTTTTAATATTTCATGATTTCATTAAACAGTGTTAGACAAGCTGAGATGCGAGCAGCTCTAGTCGTCTATCTATCATATGGCTTCACAACACTTGGAATATAGTAATATGTTTACTATGCACTATTTTAATGGTATTTTTAGTTTAGGAATAGAGCTGCATGAACATTCTTCAAAAACTGTCCTTTTGTGTTCCACGGAAAAACGGGCTCCAAATGTCATTCCAAACCCTTTTTTTCCCCTCATCTGATC